TTCTCTGTAGGTGATTAATTACCTCGTATATGACACTGAATGCCAGTGTTTTAGAAGTTGCTCTATATGTCAGGTGCTAGATCTATAGAACAGACAGTGTGTCTCCCCCCCCCCCCCCCCACCCAGGGCCTCAGAGACTAAATAAAGATTGCTTTAAAAAAAGAGATGTAGTATGTTCTGCAATACTATGTGTCATCGAGATTCATAGAATTTTATAGCTAAATTTAGAGCTAAAAGAAGGAAACTTTAGAGGTCTTCTTTTCCAAGTCCCTCATTTTATAGATAAAGCAGTTAAAGACCAGAGAAGTCAAGCCACTTTTAGCTGGTTTTTCACTGAGCCGAAACTAGAAAGTAGATTTCCTGACTACTTGAAGTGCAATGTTAATTTCATCGCCTTCCAGAGAGGCCAAAAGTTCTCCCTCCCTAACTCATAGTAACACATGGAGCACGTTCCTCTGTCTTTTAAGCAGTAGTAGATGTGGGGAAATATTCTTGTGTATATATGGGCACACTCACTCAGCCTTTATATTTCTGGTCCCCAATCTAGAACTTTGGTCTTCTTTTTCTGAGCTCTAACTTCAGTCTTACCAGAAACAGCAATCCAAAAGGAGAATTACTCCTCTTCTTGGTTCTCAGATTCTCTACCCAGTGGGTGGAAACTGAGGTTCAAGAATTAGTACGCCATTCCTTAAACAAGTTAAAGACAGAGAGAGATTTACAGAGATAGATTAGGTTTTCAGGATTTGTTCTTTATCTGTGGGAATGTATCTAGGTCTCTGTACCATGGCTACCATCCTGGTCTATAGTCCACAGGAACCATTGTACCATGGTTGCCCTAGACCACTTCAACCACAAGTAATAAAAGCTACATTTATTAAGCATTACTATGTGCCAGGCACTGTGCTGAACAATTTCTGTGCCTTATCTCATCATTTCACATACAGTAGGTAGGTATTATTACATTGGACTCAAAAGCAACAAAATAAAATTGGCATTTTTTTTCCCTAAAAAAATTCATACAAATAAAAAATGGCATTTTCTCTAACTTCAGATTTCCATATGTTTTATGCAAATTTAGTTTCACCAAATGGGATGTATTTTTTAATCCCTTTGTTGAAAATGCTAATAAAATCACCAAATGATTAGTTGCACTGATAGTTAATTAAATCTAATGTACAGCATGAGCATTCAGTGATACAGAAAATTTGTTGATAAGGTTTAACCTTTGGGGGGAACTTTGACTTATAAAAATTCACATTTTATTTATTTTATTTTTTTTAAGATTTTATTTATTTATTTGAGAGAGAGAGAGAAACAGC